TTCTCTAGCAATTTTTCGTTTTCCTCAAAAATAACTCGTCGAAGTCCTTCAAGGTCACAGTCGACGTGTTCTCCTTCATGTTTGACTTCTTCCGGAAAGATTGTTTTCAATGACTTGTCTAACTGTGCTATCTCAGCGCTTGTGCTTCGCTTCAGAAGTGCTTCAGCTTTTTCAACTGCTGTCTCAGTTTTTTGAGCTTGTTTTTCAAACTCACTCTTTTGTATTCCCAGTTGCTCGAGTGATTGCTTTCCTGGATTTTCAGCTGAATTGAAGATCTCCTGCTTCTTTGCCTCGATAACGGCCATAATGTTATCAGCAAACTGCTGCGCGCTCCTTTTCACATTGGCGATTTTTTCTTGAATTTTTGCACGGTTTTGGTCAACCTGAAAGATTTTATTTCTCATCTGTTGGGCCTTCTCCTTTTGAGATTCAATGACAGTCTTCGCTTCTGCTTTTCTTTCATTTGCCGCTTCTTCCAAAAGTATTTTAACGTGGCCGTCGTGAATGGTTGCAGCACAAGAGCTACAAATTGGTTCTTTACAGCTCCTACAAAAGAATTCCAGTTCTTTCTTTTCGTGTCCTGGCTTTCCACAAAATGCTGGCCGCTTTAACACGTCCTCGATGTCTTGATCTTGGAAGTCTTTAATCGCCAACACACGGTGTTCTTTATTAGCTCGGATTATGTTGTGCGCACTGATACAGTCGTCACACCAGAATGCACAACACTGGAAGCAGTACAAACTGTGAGCGCATTTCTTGTCACAGTTTCCACATTTGGCACCTGTAGTGTTGCACTCTTTGATGGCCAACACATCCAGCAAACTGTTGATTCGAAAACTGGTCGGCAGGTCCTTCAGGTTTCCACTGCTAGGGACTCTACTCTCTTTTCTACATTCCGGGCAGGTTATGATATCATGGCGGCCACTCGTTCGTTGAATCCCGTTCAAGCAGTGAAGACAAAAACTGTGTAAACATGGCAGCTGTTTTGGATCAGTGAATGTGATCAGGCACACAGGACAGGATAGTTCTTTATGAAGATTGTTTAGCAAGGTTTTTATATCCATGTTTGAAGACGGAAAACGGGGAGGGTTTGAAGTTAAGTTAGGAGCGTCCAACAATGAAGTCTTGTGATCAGCGTCTACTAATATTAACCAATCACAGGACGGTGTTTATAGACCTGTTTGACAGGTGCGGTTTCTAAGAATTGTAATCAGTTTTGCTTGACCAATATTCAAATCATATTTTGTTTCGCAAAATGACTGAAAGGTTGAAAGAAGGTCACTGAATTTGTGATAGTGACCAATCACATAGCATCATTAGAAGTGTTTTCATTTGACGTGACTGCTAAACTAAGTAACTTTGTGATGAGCCAAGATTTCCGAGAATTGTGATCAGGATTTCTTGACCTTATAAATTTTAGAAGGCTATCAGCTTTACAAAATGTCTGCAATGGTGTTTTACAGTTGCTCATTTTATTCAGTGCTGTTACATTTTATCGCCGACAGAGAACGGTAAACACGTAACACCAAGGGTTTTGACGAGAATAGAAACGAAGTGCGAAGGTTCGTGTTGTGAAGGTTTGTGAGTATTAGAAAACCCATTGTAAAGAAATCATCCAAAAACCCATTGTAGTGAGAAGACACGGAGATGAAAATCGCAACGCGTCGTCACTGAGGCACGCAATCTCCAACATACCCAATCCTTGACGCTT